GGGGGGGGGGGTCTCTGAGCTTCTGGCTCCAGCTCCCGGTGACAGGCACATAGTAGGCCCTCAAGAAATACATGCTGATGAAATGAAGAGTTGAATTAGGAAGTGCTCCCCACGAGTGCCCACCGCTGCCTCCACGGTGGGGGACATGTGCGGCCTCAGTGTCCAGCGTGGGCTCACTGCCTTCACATCAACCGTAAAGGGCCTTTGCTCCCCTAAGTGAGTCTAAGCTCAAGGCTGGAGCTGGTGTCTTTTAATGAACCAAACTTTCCTGGAGCCTCTGTATGTGGAGCCTGTGCCACCAACGCGGGCATAAATCCTGATCTTCAAAACAAAAATCCTCCCCCCTACCCCCCCACCCCCGCAGCCCTCCACTTTTAGCCTCTGCAGACTGCATGCGGTAAGGGACGCATAGGCTTTGGTGAGAGAGAATATAGAGGAAAAGGGAAAAGCTAGCATTCGAACACTGCTTGTAAGAGGGTCAACTGATAGCATCTTTTTAGAGCTTTGTCCTTAAACTAAGATTGGGAGGAAAGCGAAGCATGATTCTATGGAAGAGAAAGGCTTCCAACAGAGGGATGAGACCTGTGCTGGGGTTGCACACTGGCACAAATCCATTCCCGCAGAAAAAAAGCCAACCCGGAACCGACTATGACGCGCTGACACCTAGTGGCCGAGGGAGGTATTGCACACGCGCTCCGCGTCGTCTTCCCCGCCACCTGCAGCTCGGTTCCAGCTACTTGAATGGCCATTTGGCAACGTGAGACCACTGTCACTTGAACGCTCCCCCCTTTAGACCTGCTATGACTTTGATAAATAGATTCCAACTATATGTATTTAGCTAAAAATTATTAGCTGTAAATATTTTCCCAGGGAAGTTATGTTAATAAAAGTTCGAAACTGGCGCATAAAGAGAGGTGCAGCGGGAATCGTGGGTCACGAGTACGCTCACTTCCTCCCTGATCGCCTTCAAGTGTGTGCACCAAGGGCCCCTCCTCTGAGGCCTTCACTGGCACCTCCCTCTAAAATGTCAACCCTCAGGGTGCCCGAGGGGCCCAGTGGGTTGAGTGTCAGACTTTGGCTCAGGTCATGATCTCATGGTTCATGAATTCGATCCCCACATCGGGCTCTGACAGCACAGAGCCTGCTTTGGATCCTCTCTCTCCCTCTCTCTCCGCCCCTCCCCTGCTCACTTTTGCAAAAATAAATAAACATTTTAAAAAATAATAATAAACTATCAACCCTCACCAACACTCTCTGTCCCCTTGCCCCTTCCTTGTTTTCACTTCCCTCTTCCCCCCACTGTGACCATTTCACACTCTATACAATTTGTCTATTTCTCCTGGGATTGTCCGTCCCCTTTCCTGCAGCGAAAATTTGTGAGGAAGCGATTTGTTCAAGGCACTGTCTTATTCTTTGATAGGTTCCCCAGTGCCTACGTTAGGGCCTGGGACATGACAGATGCTCCATAAGTATTCTGGGGATGAATGTTATGTGAAACCAGTGTTAAGAAAACCCCGCATCAGGGGCTCACGCGGCATACAATTCTGCAAACGCCCGAAGTGTGGATGTTGCCAGCTGTGATCAGTTTCCTTGGGCTGCCGTAACAAGTTCCTGGACTGAACCAGCTTGTCCAATGGAAATTCATTTTCTCCCTGTTCTGGAGGCTGGGAGTCTGAGCTCAAGGTGTCCGCAGGGTGGTTTGTTCTGATGCCTCTGTCTGTGGCTTGTAGGCGGCCGCCTTCTTCTGGTGTCTTCACATGGTCTTTCCTCTGTGTGTGTCTGTGTCCTAATCTCTTCTTATAAGGACACCAGTCAGATTGGATTAGAGCCACCCATATGACCTCATTTTATCTTAATCATATGTCTAAGGACCCTGTCTCCAAAGAGTCCCATTCAGAAATTCTGGGGGTTAGGACTTCAACATATGAAAAGGGGAGGAGGGGGAGCTAATCCAGCCCATTACGTAGATAAACACACCAAAAAATGCTGGGATGTGTCAAAAGAATACAGGTGTCAGCCGAAAGGGGTTCCCAGTGGCCAAACCCAGGACCAGCGAGGCATGAAACGTAAGCATAATAATAACAGATTATAACTCACCGACTAAAACAAGTATCTATGAGTCCATAGCGATCAATAAATACAGGTAAATAAATACGTAGGGTGAAAGGAATGGCTTTTCCTCACCATAGACTGCCCATTGAAAAATGCAAAAGAAAATTACCACTCTGCAGCCCTCGCTTTAATAATCGATTCGGACACAAATCCTCATGGGAGGCTTCAACCCGGGTGAAGGTCTCATGGAGAACAGTTTATGAACCCAGTCTCAAAGCACCTCCCCCGCAGAATACCTTAGTAATCCCGACTTGGGAATCGCAATGGAGAATCTGGACAGCGGATGCCCCCCTTTTTTTGTTGTTTTTTCCATTTATTTATTTATTTATTTTCGGGGAGGGGGGAATGGGCAGAGAGAGAAGAAGAGAGAGAGAGAGAGAGAGAGAGAATCCCAAGCACGGTCTGCCCTGCCAGTGCGGAGCCCGATGTGGGGCCCGAACCCACGAACTGTGAGGTCATGACCTGAGCCGAAACCAGGAGTCGGACACTTAACCGATTGAGCCCCACCGGTGCCCCACAGATTAACAGGTTAACCAAGTAACCAAGGTCAGCAATGCACATTATGGGACAGATCAACACCCAGTAC